GGGGGGAGAGGCGGGGGAAAAAAAAAAAAAGCAAACCGTAATTTAAAATGTGTTGATCGTAAAAAAATATCTTATTCGGTAATTACAACGTATCTTGACTCCTTCCCAATAGCTCCTTGCAAGCCCGTGCCACTGCTCCCTCTGCAAATGTTGCACGTACCAGGTACTTCCTTCTAAGCCTTGTAGTGATTCAGAACAGAGGGAATAAGCAAAATGATCATAAATTTCCTAATTAGAGATTTCGCACCAAGACAAAAAGGTGTTAATGAGTTTAATTCCAGTGCCTGTCATTGTCCCTTTTTTCACACCACTTATTTACTAATGGCCCAGAGGGCTGCTCCCGTCTCTCCTTTGTTAAGATTTTAATTTGCCTTCTTTTCTGCCTTTGATGTAAAATTGTGACCTACAACTCTTTGAAGTCCCTTATTAGGAGGAAAATTAACTTAGCTTTTCCACTGTATCTGCCCACTGTTAGCCCAGACAAAATGTAGAGAACTCCTTAAAGATTCAGTACATCAGGAAATTTTTCAAGGTACCTCTGGAAATGCAAATTTAAAAAAAAAAATTCTAATGGACCTTTAAATCTATATTAGGAGATGTAACCATCGCCAGGTCCGGAGAGGGGGAAGGGAAGGAGGGAATATCTTAATAAAGAAAACAAAAACAACCCGGACAAGGAAAGGCTGTAAATTTGAAAACCTGAAAAGGGGGGGGGGGGGCGGCCTCTATTTTTAAATGTCACAACTTTTTCCTGTCCCTCTCGTTTGCCGCTCACAGCTGACACCCTGGCTTCCTATGCTCCGGGGGAGGCGGGGGCTATGAAAGAAATTATATCTAAATCTATCTCTATATAATTAGAATACCATGAGGCAGGGTTAAACCTTTGTAAAACACACAACTGATTGGCGATCGCCAAAACGAGATTTGAAAGCAACTCAAATAAAAGATCGCGACGTCAGTAAACAGATTTAGGAAAAAAAAAAAAAAAAAAAAAAAAAGAAGGGGAGAAAAAAAAGCAGCTAGTGACAAACCCGGCGAGAACGAGCTCTGGGCATGAGAGAGAGAGGGAGGCAGAGGGAGAGAGAGAGACTTAAAAGAAATAGGAGGGGCTTGTGAGAGACTAGAAATGTCAATCAGAGCCCTGAGTCCCAATAATCTCAGGCAATCTGTTAGGACCTGACCTGGGTCCACTCAGATCAATAGGAAAAGTGAGAGAAGAAAGAAGCGATCGGATCGTTTACCGCGGCGGCCGAGGACAGGAGGGAGCCCGCGGCCTCCGCGCACCCCCGGCTCCCCCCCCCTCCCCATGTC